ATGCATCATACTACCTTATGAGTCTAAGACTTGTAGGAATCCAACCGATGAACAAGGTGAAGGATCATATGTTTGGTTTTGTTATTTACACAAATAAAAGGACTAATAATTAAATATAAATTTGGCCCATTACACAAATGAAGAGGCTAATTAATGAGTGGGCAATAGCAAAATATATACTTTGTTTAAAAATTTGAAGCCCCAAATATTTCATTTGTTTTCTTATGATGTTCAGTCAGAACGATTGTGTGAGAATAAATATTCTTTGTTGTAATAAGATTTATATTTTCTCTTCTTTGTTGTCTTTGTGACTGCTTAATGCAATTTATAATTTATTAAAGGTAATTTTTGAATGTCTAGAAAAACAAGAAATATTATTTTTTTATTATTTATTTATTTATTTTATAGTCTTGTTTAATTAGACTTTTTCTTGTATGATTCTATCTACAAATAATCCTACCACGCAAGTTCAAATCGAAAAGTTCGAAAAGATAAAATTTGTCTGGGGCCTCCAAATTTTTGGAGACAGCCCCGGATTAAAGTTCTTGTTGAATTTGGTCTCGTTGTACCCTTCACCTTGCTCCTTCTCCGTCGACTGATCGGCCTGGGAATCCAACCCTGTTCATCGGGTGCAAGCAAATGGTCCTCTCTCTTGTGGGCCCATTTCTCAAATCGGTGGTCAACGTTTGTTCTAGGAAAGTTACTAGCTTTACTATATCAATACTAATCGTTGTACAACGTTGACTAACATTTCACCCAAACTTGATAAATATTATTATAATATATAAAATTATCAAGAAATTTCAAAAAGACATGATGAAAGCCTTAAAAACTCTAGTAAATTTTTTTTTTTAAAAAAAAAATACCATGCGCAATGTTCATTAAAGTCATTAAAATTTAATAAAATACACAAAAGGTATTAAGGTTATATTTGGTAAAACTAGCTGATAAGTTAGCTTATAGCTTATCAGTTATTTTTGAGTTTATAACTTATAGCTTATGACTTATAGCTGAAAAACTAACTTATATAATAGAAGTGTGGGTAAAATTAGCTGATACACTAGTTGAATTAAAAATTTCAACAAGCTTATTTAAAAAACTACTCAAAGAAGCTTATAAAATAAACTTGAGCATTTAAAAAAAAAAAAAAATCCGTCTTACCAAACGAAGCTTATTTGAATACAGAGAGCTTATAAACTAACCAAATAAACTATAAGCTAGTTTATTTGTCTACCAAACATAATCTAATTGTATAAGTTATTTAAGAAAGTAAACAGAATGCAACTCTATAAGTATTTGGACTTCCAACTTATACTTTCCTTTATTATCAAAACCCGAACATCCACATCCTCTCAATTCTTGATTGTCTTAGAGTTCATTACATTTATATTTTCGAAACTAATTTTTGTCATTGGGAAGAATGGGAGTCAATCAAGCAAGAATTAGAGAGGGAACAAATATCTGAAGAGGCCTACTGGCAGCAGAAGTCAAGAGTGCAATGGCTTAAAGAAGGAGACAGAAATTCCAGCTTTTTCCATGCCTTCACCATGCAGCGAAGGAAGAAAAATGCCATCTCTAGGCTTGTCTCAGAAAGATCTGGTCTCTGTACCTCCAGTGAAGAAATTGCTGAAGAGATTACCAGTTATTAGCAAAGGGTCTTTTCCTCTGAAGGATCTCAAGGTGCCCAAGAGATTACTCAACTTATTCCCAGAACAATCACATCTGAGATGAATGAGCAACTCCAAGTTGCCATCACAGAGGAGGAGATTAAAGCATCTTTATTCCAAATGAATCCTCTCAAGGCCCCTGGAGAAGATGGCATGACTCCACTTTTCTATCAGCACTATTGGCCTATTCTCAAGGAGGACATATGTGCTGCAGTTGGCTCTTTTTTCTGTTCTGGGAAATTACTCAGATACTGGAACCACACATTGGTATCTCTGATTCCAAAATGCCTTAATCCTAATTCTATCTCTCAGTTCAGACCCATCAGTCTCTGTACAGTGGTTTACAAGCTAATTTCTAAAATACTTGCATCAAGACTTAAGCCATGCCTTCAGAACTGCATCAGTCAATCTCAAGGGGCCTTCCTATCTGACAGAAACATTCTTGACAACATAATCATGGCCCAAGAAGCTTTCCACTACATCAAGTGGATCTTTTCTTGCCTCACCTCTTCATCTTTTTCTTTCATGGTCAATGGGGCAGCTGTGGGCTACATCAAACCTTCCAGAGGATTGAGGCAGGAGGACCCCCTTTCCCCTTACCTCTTTCTTATTGTCTCTGAAGCTTTATCCTCTCTCCTTACCAATGTTGTATCTAATGGATCTTTCAAAGGGCTCAGAATTGCTAGAGGAGGCCCAACACTCTCACACCTTCTCTTTGCAGATGACTCCATAGTTTTCTGCAAGGCTGATCAGAGCCAAGCCACACTCCTGGTAAACATCTTGAACAAGTACCACCTCTTCACTGGTCAACAAGTCAACATGTCTAAGTCTACTATCTTCTTCAGCAAAAACACACCCCCTGCCACTCAATTCAACATTTGTCAGCTGCTTGGTGGTATTACAGCTCACTCCTCCACCAGATACCTAGGCCTTCCTCTAGGCATAGGTAAATCAAAGAAAGAGGCTTTTGACTTTGTTATCCAAGCAGCAAGAAACATAATGGTCAACTAGAAAAACAAATTTCTATCCATTGTTGGGAAGGAAGTCCTCATCAAGGCAGTGATTAACTCCTTACCAGTTTTATGCTATGTCATGCTTCAAATTACCCTTGGGAACTTGTAGAGAACTGGCACAAATCACAGCTCAGTTCTGGTGGAGCAAAGGAAAAGAGCAAGATAGAGGTATTCATTGGAAAAAATGGGACCTCCTTTCTATCCCAAAGGTGAATGGAGGGCTTGGATTTCATGACTACAAAATCTTCAATGAAGCTCTAATTCTTAAACAACTCTGGAGGATTACTACTCAGCTGCAACTCATGGTCAGCCAACTCCTCAAAAGCAGATATTTCCCCAATTCCTCCATCTTTGATGCTCAAAAAAAGAATTCCAGCTCTTGGATGTGGAACAACTGGCTAGACATCTTGCCTACATTTAAACTGGGAATATAGAGAGAAGTGAGAGGAGGACAACAAACAATGATCCAAGATCATGGATGGGTTCCCAAACTTGGCTTGTCTGCTCCCACTAGGTTGAGAAACCATGAGCTTCTCTTTGTTAGTGATCTCATTCATGAAAATGGGAGGCACTGGAATGTAGAGCTCATTGCTCAGATGTTCAACCAATCTGATGTTGATGCCATCTTGGAGGTTACCTCTCTTTCCCTTGACCTTGATGACAGATGGAGATGGAAGTTGGACAGCAAAGGTGCCTTCTCAGTAGCAGCCTCATATGCCCATCTAATGAACAACAAGCTTAGCTGCTTGGATATTGCTGAAGGTAGCTTGAACAGAATCACTGACATCAAAATCAGACAGAGGTGTTGGAAGCTGAAAATCAAAGAGAAAATTAAGTATTTCATCTGGAAGTGTTTTACAAACACTTTGCCTGCTGGGGTGAACTTATGGAAAAAAGGGCTGGATATTGACCCTATATGCAAACTATGTGGTGAAGCTGAAGAGACCATAGATCATCTGCTGTTGAGCTGCTCAAGGGCCATTGCAGTCTGGAAGATATCCCCTCTTTCTTGGGATGGCATCTCTACAAATCAGACATCCTTCAAGACTTAGTGGTGGCAAGTCTGCTCCATAAGCAAAACTGACATTTCAGAGGCTAGAATCCAACTGTCTACCTATATCCTCTGGTGGCTATGGAGATCGAGAAACCTGTGGCTGTTCAACAAAAAAAAAAATGCCTGTGCATATGGTAGTGAAGGGTGCAATTCAAGAATGACAAGAATTCTGCTCTGTGGCTTCTTGCTGATCTCTTCTCGGGTTTAGTGTTCTAGCTGTTGGTCTGCTCTTTTCTGGTTTTTTCTGCTAGTCTTGCCTAGTTGTAGTTTGTTAGTTGTTTGTTTGTCCTAGTTGTTTCTAGTTCTGGTCTCTCTTTGTTGGTTTCTTTTTTCCTTGTTCCTGTAGTTGGGAATTCTGGTGCTTGTTTGTTCTTCTTGCTCGGTTTGGTGGTTTTGGTTAGGAAGTGTCCTAGCTTGTTGCTAGCTTCATAACTCAGGTTGGTTGTGTTTTAGCTCACTGTTTTCAGTGTTGCTCTCAGGCCTTTATGGCTATCTCGAGTTTTCTCGTTGTACTTTGTTGCTTTGTTTAATGAGAATGTCTACCGTTTGATTAATAAAAAAAAAAAAAAATTGTCTGTATTTTTTTTTCGAAACAGTAGATGTTATAACTCGAATTATAAATCACAAACAATGTTTACTAAGGTTGAAAGCTCTGTAATTTTTATTTTTTAATTTTTTTTTAAAAAAAATAAATAATCACAACAATTTTCCTTGAAAGAGGGGGCAAAATTTGTCTTACTTCGTGAGTACTGCTCCACCGTACGGATATTAACTTCTGATTGTCGAATCTACGCACTCCTACGAATTCTGCTGACGAACGACATAACCTATACAATGCGCTGATGTTCAGAGTTGCAGATCATCCCCCCACTCGATAAAATGACATTTGATTGTTCCTTCGTAAATGCACCTTTCACAAAGTGCAGGCAACTCACAATCTCACATCAGCAGCTATACACAAAATCATATTAACCTTGAGAAAACAAGGGAACAATATACAATTCATCTGTCTTACAATTAAAGAAAAAAGAAACAAAGAAAATTAATGGGCTAAAAAGATTTGCTTCAAAAACATTCAAGTTCATCAGCTACAGACTGCAAGGAGCACCACAGAACACCCAAACTCCCCTGCAAAACTACAAATTATAAAATAGAATGAAAACAAAAATATAGACGAAAAACGTATCAATCTCAATTCCCAGAATTAAGCACACACAATCAACATGAGCTAAAACCGTAGTAGCGCACCTTAATCAAATACAGGTTTCACTCGAGTGGAGTAATATTGCCCCAACTATGAGTTGTGAACCAGTTATCGCGAAATGAATGTGGGCCCATCGCATGATCCCACACCATGATTCGTGAAGTGTTTGTCGAAATGCATTCCATTTGGCTTTCGTCCTCCACGATTTGCTCTACGAAAGAAGTTGCCTACGGAAGGAATAATGTTAAGCAATCCAAAGAAGATGTGGCCTTTCAATCACATCAATCATTTTTCTTACTAAGACCAAACTAAAAACTCGACGTGCGATTTTCTCAATCAAGGATGCATTCATTATCTGAGCTTAGCTTGTTTTAATTTCAATCAATTACCTAGCTCCACAAGATTGTAATATTTTTTATAGCTAAAACCTATTATAATGGACTCTCAAAATGTAGTCTCTGTCCCTTTTGTTAGCTCGCGGGTCTAATATTTCTGGTTTATTTATTTATTTGTTTTTTATATTTTTTTTTCCTAGTTACCCATATTTAATTATACAATTCTATACATCTTTCAGAACAAATTGATCAATTTAGGGTTTACTGTGAATAAAGGCAAAGTAGAAACACTGGATATTGTTTTCATTTATTAAGTATGTACTTGTGTGAAAAATGAAAACAATACTCTTTTCTTTGGGCAGAATGGTTGATGGTAAGAAAAGAAGAAAAAAATTAGGCAAATACAAAAACCCTTGAGATCTGGCTGATCGATTACACACATTCACAAAGAAAAAGTAAGCTTTGAAAATTACAAAAACCACCCTGGAAATTACATCTCATTTATTGAACTTGTCGCCAATGACGTTGAAATGGCTGATTCACCAAGCATTTTAACAATTAGAGCCCTCAACTTTTCAAAATGTAAGAATACCTCAACCTTTTGTCCTAAACTTCATATTAACGTCCCTTAATTTTTTTTTAAAAAAAAATTACAAGCAGTATGAGAAATATTAGGGTCATTCGTGATATATATGAGAGGCCAAGCAATGTGGTTGTAATATTTAATGATGCTATGAAAGTTCAATAAAGCTACCATTGGTTAGGGCAAAAAATTGCATGGAATCGGACCTCTGTTTCTTTTAATTTCTTTTTTTTTTTTTTTATTCATTTCCTGTATAATTGTAACTTAGCACTATTGCAACGATAATGGTTTCGATAAAAAACTCACTTGCAAATCTTCTCTAACTGTCTCGAGCTGCCTAATGGATTCAATCGTTGGCCGGTGCCACCTCTTTGGATCCCAAATAATAGTGCTGTTAAAAGCAAAACCTGTCATCTCAGCATGGAATCTTCTAGATCTTTTTGCCATGCCACCTACGTGCCATCCTATCACTTGAGACCTGTTACAAACTGGACCATCCAAGAAAATCCTGCCTTTGGTTTCATCCAATTGGGCCACAGTCCATGTCCCAAACCGACTGCATTTAGAAAACAATAAGTACTGGAAGAATGTTATATCTTCAGGCATAATCACAATAGTCAAAGTTACTGCAAGGGACGAGCAATTTTGATCCTCTCTTAAGCATGAAACATAGTTGTTTTAAGTTTTGAACTTCTGCAATTTTGGTTATATGAATTCCAAGCTGAAGCAAATTTGTCCCAAACAGTTGTTTCAGTAATCATTTATTCCCAAAATTCCCTTAAATATCAAGCAATTTAAAACTCCTATAGAAGTCAGTCACAGCACCAAGATTGTATCTTCAACCAGAGAGCAAAATCATCAGGAATTGAAAATTGCCACTCGTGAAGGTAAAGGACTAACACTGCAACTCCAAGAGTTACAAGATCAGGAAATTACAAACTAGGATTGTTATAGGATTACCGAGAATTATAAAGACCATAAGTAGCCCTTGTTTTTTTCATAACGAGTCAGAATATAAAATTATGGAATAATAATACACGAAAACTATTCTTGAGGTGACTGAAACAAATATTCAAAGAAATTACAAAAGTACCTGATTTTTCTCATTTCCTCAAAAATCTCAGTTGAGTATATCTTATCCTCGTCTGCAAAGTAAACAATCCCATCAAGACGATGTTTCTCGATGTGTGAGAGAGCCACATTCCTCAGAAGAACACTCGTGTCAACTGTCCCCGTCGAGTTCTTACTAACGCATATTAAATGTCGGTACATGACACCAATGTCCCTCAACAACTCAGCTACTTCCACAGACTGTGCATCCATCTCAACCACAATCCACAGAAGAGGATGTGAGACAAGTTTTAGCGTGTGAGCAAGACGATTTAGGTGATAGGCCCGAAGTGGACCCGCATGCGTTGGTGTCACAGTTATCAGAAGCTTACTGTAAGTCACATCAGAAGCCCGGCCCGATGAATTATTCAAATCACCAAGGCGGAATTTTCCATCATTGCGTTCTGAATTCACTTCTTCTTGTTCTGCTGAAGAAATCTTGTTTCCTGCTGATAAACTCGCTTTCTGTCCGCCATAAAACCCGTTTTTTGCAGCAGCTTGTGGCAAATCGAAGTACAAATCTCCATGCTTAGGCATGACGACATTTGATGACATATTCATCGGGAAAAATGGGGTAAGCCCAAGAAAGGTACCAACAAGAAAGCACATCGAAAAATGTAGAAAGGCCCTCCGCCAAATCTGTCCCTTTAGCTTCGAGCGATCCAAGGGCCGAGAGGTTCGCTGTGAGCACAATCCGAGGACAAAGGTTTGGGCTTTGTACAATGCATGGTCCAAGGCGCACATCGAGGAAGACAAAAGGGTGCCATGAGAAGGGTAGTTTTGACTATTTGAAGAGGATTTGGAGAGAGGGGAGGAGACATGACAAGCTTCTCCGTTTATTAAAGGGACGGGCCGAGGGACAGGAGATAATGTTCTTCTAATTGATGCCATAAGAAATGTTCACGACTATTTGCCCGAGATATGTTGTTTCATCAAGAACATAGTTCAAAACACCAAAATCTTCCAATAAGAGTAAGACGAAAACCCTTTATGCCATGTAAATCATTTGCTTAACATAGCATTAATTTCTCACAATTTCGACCACCAAAATGAGAAAAATGTGTTTTCTACTGTATTGTTGCTATCTATCCCAAAGTGGAATTTGCTTTAATTTCCACTTGATGCTACTTTAGGCAGAGGCATGATTGTTTATAACAAATCACGCAATTCTTTGATCACTCTTCATAGCTCCAAGGATACAGCATACCTTGAAAAGGGCCATTCAGAAATCAGATCAAATATCAAATTCACAATCTCTTTATTCCTAACTGTAACATCACAGATGCAAGACTGCATTTTTATCCAGCAAAAATGAGCAATAATGGCAAAATATTCAATGATTAACCAAAGAAAAACGAAAAAACCCGAAACCCT